ATCGAATTTAGATGCCTGGCGGTACTTTACAAAAGAACTTCAAAAAGATTCGCACGTACGAGGATGTAACCCTTACTTTAATCGAATTTTTCGGGACGGACCGGGAAAGAATTCGAAGCAGATTGCTAGCGCGATTAAGAGCAATGCGAAGAGCGATTGAGAAGAGTCGGTTTTTCGCTACTCATGAGGTAAGAGAGAATTTTTATTTTAACTTTTGAAGAAGTGCCAAAGAAAGGTCATTGGCAGATAAGCGATGGGCTGGGAGCGAGACCTAACTGTAAACTTTAAAGCTTTTTAAGTCAGTACTTTCAAGTGTTGCAGTGACTAAACCATGGTAGTAAATCGAACATTTAAAGTGTAGCCACAAAACCTCTATCCAAAGGTCAATCTATAAAAGGTATATTTGCAGCTGATGCGCTAAATTGTTTACTCAATAAAAGTCAGTATATTTATTTTGAGTTGGCGTGGGGAAAATGAAAGAATAGAGAAGGGGACTAGGAACAATTAAGTTTTAGAGCGATTAAATCAGATATTCGTTACTTTTTGTCTCGTCTTAAAGGATTAAGCAAATTCTTGTATAAGATGGTGGTTTATGAGAAAAAGTCAGCGCAAAATATAGAGCGAAGGCGTATGATGGAAACCAATAGAAGTGAACAGAGGACTGAACTAGAACCAGCTCAATCAAATTTAAACCAATTAAATCCTTTGGAAATTGGAGAAACGATAAACAAATTGGATTCGATATAATTTAGGTTGTGGGCAGTTCTCTTCTAATTGTGCACGATAGTGAAAAAGTCAACTGCTGGATGATTGACTTTGCGAAATCATCGCCTGTTCAACCACCAAGGACTTTGGATCACCGCACTACATGGGTTCCCGGCAATTCCGAAGATGGTTACCTTACTGGAATCGACAATCTCATTAAGGTTATTGTTTATATTTCCTCTGCTATCTGTCTTTTTGAAATAAACTTGATATTTTACAGATCCTTGAAGGCTTGCCGCCTATGGAAGTTCGACCAACGAAAGAGTTGAGGTGACATGCTATCCTGGCTCTCGGGGCTGATTTGAGCTTCGGTCAAATATTTGCATATCATGTATACATGAGATGCACACAATTCTGATCTCATATCATTTTTGTAGTATTGATTTTTTTCTTCTCACTGAAAAGATGAATTTCGTGCCAGATTGACTCTCTCATAAAACCTTACGACAAATCGCTTTCTTGGGTTTCCGTCCATTACATCTCTCTAAGCGTTATTACATATAAAGTACCTCAGTGTCAGATCACTTGATTTATTTATGCCTGTGAATGTTTTTGATTGCATAATATGTGATTTATCCAAGGTCCTTGATGCATATTTTGCCTTATTTCACATTTTCTGGGTATTTTGTCCGCTGTGGCTTAGCCTTCTGTTATTGTGATCGAATTTTTCAGACATTGTTGCTCAAAAACTATTGGTACAACGGCTGCACTATGCGGTTTAGGAATCTAATATTTCGTATTCTCGTACTTTTTTAAAAACATTTCATGCAAATTCCTATTGTTTAAAGCATTGATCCCTCCATAATCTGTGATCAATGAGTGTAAGTGACATACCAGAATAGATAAATATTGACAGTAATTTGTTGAGGCTCTAGCACAGCTATGAATATGAGAACTTATGTCAGCAGCCTGCCCTCATCAGATTTATCGAGCGCGTTCTTACAAACCACTCTAGTTTATGATAATCACAAACATTTTTTGCTCTAAAAACCATTCACTAACGCATAACATTATTTTTCAATAGGTAACGCTTTTTCCATAATCAAAAAATTATACCTACACTTTAG